TTGAACAGTGGCGCCACCTTGAGAGCGCCAATGCTGAGGTCAGTTTGATTTTGGCATCAACAACAGCCAGACGCCTGAAGAAACCACAGCCTTTTCTTGGTGCAGCCGAAGCTCCTATGCGGAAGTCCTACATCCTCTTGAAGGACTCCTTTCTGAGCACCGACTGGGAGCAGTGGACACAAATGTCACCAGCTTCACAGATTCGACCTCTGATAGCACGAGACCGGAAGCTCTATATCGCCATCTTTGGCAAGGAGCTTGGAGCACAAGTTCAACATGGTGATGAAGAGGACGATAGATGGAAAAGACGGGAGGAAGACAGGGAGCGCAAATGGCAAGCACTTCCGAGAGAGCTCAAGCTTGCAGTGAAGCGCATCCATGTCAACCTTGGACATGCCAACATACCCACCATGCTGAGAGCCTTGAGAGTTTCGAAGGCAAGTGAAGCAGCCCTTCGAGCAGTGCGCCTGTTTCGGTGCATAGATTGCCCTCGCATCCAAAACCCAAAGGAGCCGAGGCCAAGCAAAATGCCCATCACCGATGAGTTCAATGTGCAGATTGGCTTGGACATCATCCATGAGAATGACAGCTCCGGACAGCCTTGGTCCTGGCTGAACATTTTCTGCCAAGGGACGCAATTCCAAGTTTGCGTGCTTTTGGATAGTGCTGGTCAACCAACTGGTCAGCAGGTGGTGGAGGCTTTTGGTTTGGGATGGACAAACTGGGCTGGTTTTCCTGAGCGCGGCGTGGTGGCAGACAGGGCGAAACCTTTTCTTGCAGCCTTGTCAGATGAGGTTGCAGACCATGGTTGCACTTTTGGCTCAGCAGCCAAAGCTTCCCCATGGCAGATCGGTCAGATCGAAAGGCATGGAGGTTTGTGGAAAGAAACTTTCAGAAGAGTTGTTTGGGCGCATCAAGTTTCCGGACGGCAAGATGTCATCATGACGACAGCCGCTGTGAACCAGGCCAAGAACTCACTGGTTCGAAAAGGTGGTTTCAGCCCCGCTCAATGGGTGCTGGGACGTGACGTCCGTTTGCCAGCCAGTTTGGCTGATGACCAAGAGGTCATGAGAGTTGGTGCCCAAGCCCTTGCAGCTACTCCAAGCAGCCTTTTCTACCGCAAGACTCAGCTCAGAATGGCAGCCAGAGAAGCCTTCTCTCGCAGTGCCACAAGTGAAGCCTTGAGAAGAGCAGAGCTGAGGCAGATCAGACCAAGCCGTGGACCTTTTCTCCCTGGCATGTACGTTTTCTACTACGATGCTCAAGACAGGGACCCAAGTCCAAACTGCTGGAGAGGCATCGCTCGTGTGATCGGGCGAGAAGGCACTTCAACCATTTGGATTTCTCACAGGGGACTACTTCTTGCAGTCAGCCCTGAACACCTCTCGCGAGCCTACGACCCAGAGGTCGAGCACTGGTCGGTTGTCTCCAAAGAGACAGAACTGATGGACGCCGCACCAGCAGCAGGTGGCACGGGGTTTATTGACTTGAGGAGATCCCCGGTGCCCCCGCTGACCGCTCCCGATGGAGAGGCCGAGAGGGAAAGCACAGATGGAGAAAAGAAACCAGAGGCCTTGGAGGATGCCCCAATGCAGCCAGCAGCAGCCGCCAGAGAAGAAGCTGAGGACTTGAGTTCAAGCTCAACTAGCATGGCTCGAACCAGGTGGGAGTCAGACCGTGAACAGAAGAGGTCTTTGAAGTCGCCCAACTTCAACGACCATGACACGGCAGCTCAGCCCTTTGGAAGCTGATCCTGAGACAGAAGCCAATGAGAGAGAGGCCAAAAGACTCCGAACCAATGAGCCTGGAGCCAACTTCATGTTTTCCGAGAACGAGCCAACTTTTGCTTTTATGGCGACTGAGGTTCCAAAGTTTTTGGAGGAACAAGCAGTGGCCAGCTATGTGAAGCACTGCGACTTCTACCAGCAGGTCGGAGTTTCGGTGAATGAGTTCGTTTTTGGGATGAAGCGCAATGACTTCAGCCAGAGGTACCATGCGCTTGCAGCAAACCCCAACCAGACAGATCCACCGAAGAAGAAGGGTCGCAAGGAGATCAAGCTCTCCGAACTTCCAGCTCAACAGCAACGCCTTTTCACTGATCCTGACGGGTCGGATGACCGTGAATGGAAAGCATGGCAAAACAAGCAAGCCTGCGATGTTTTGAGTTTGGATGAAAGCTTGAGGATCCGGCGAGAGAAGCCTGATCTGATAGTGCCGACCAGGTGGGCCCGAACCAACAAACATGATGGTTTGGTGGGCAAGGAATTCCTTGCGAAGTCGAGGTTGGTGGTGCAAGGTTTCAAAGACAAAAGCCTTGGGCAATACAGGCGAGATGCGCCAACGGCATCAGCAGTGGCAGAGGCGATTGTTTTAGCAGTTTGCGCCTACCACCGTTTTGTGCTGTTTGCCAAGGACATCAAGAATGCCTACTTCAGCGGCAAGAACATCACACGTGAGGTCTACCTGGATCCTCCACGTGGTGGTCTTCGTGGACTTCAACAAGGGCAACTTCTCAGAGCCCGGAAAGCCATCTACGGTTTTGCCGAAGCAGCACGTTTGTTTTGGTTAGCCTTGAAGGAGCAGCTGGAGGCTGACGGATGGCAGGAGTCCAAACTGGAGCCCGCCTTGTTTTACTTAAGGCACCAGGGTCAACTAAAAGGAATCCTCGTGACACATGTGGATGACTTGGAAGGAGGTGTATCTCCGGACTTGCAGCAGTCCGCCTTTGAGAGAGCATCTCAAGCCCTGGAGTTCGCAACCAACCACTTTGGCAGCTTCATCTTCAGAGGCAGAGAGATTCGACAGACCACTGAAGGTCACATCGATGTCTCCATGCGCAACTACTCCTTGAGTTTGAAGAATGTGAAGATTGAGAAATGGAGGAGGAAGCAGCTGGAGGATGAACTCCGCCCTGAGGAGATGGAACAGCTGAACAGTTCAGCTGGCGAGCTTGGATGGTTAGCACGGCAGTTGCGGTGCGACTTGGCCTATGAGAATGGAGCTGCGCAGCGAAGCAAGAAGGAGCCCATCGTTGCCGATCTCCTGAGGCTGAAGCAGTACCTTAGTGCTGCGCGCCGTGGTGCAGACTTCAAGATGCGCTACTGGAATGATGTGGACCTGAAAGATGGGGTCATCATACACCTGGCCGACTCCGGCCATGCCAATGGAACTCCAGAGCACAACGAGCAGATGAGATACCGCAGTGTGGGGGGATACTTTATCCTTGTAGCTGACAAGGCAATCCGGCAGGGTGAGACCGTGAGGTGCAACATCCTGTGCTACCACTCGGGTCAGACGAAACGAGTGTGTCGCAGCACACTTGCTGCGGAAGCAAGCCATTTAGCAGAAGCAGTTGAGGCTGGTGATTGGATCACCGTCCTGTTGGAGGAGGCCTTAACAGGCGAACTGGACCTTCGGAACTGGGCAGACCTTGTGGAACGACGCCAAAGGGTCTATGTGACCGATGCCCGGTCAGTCTATGACTATCTCCAGAAGGATGCAACTTCGACATCAACTGACAAGCGGATGGCTATAGAGGGTGCGCTTTTGCGGGAGACCTGCAGAAAGCCTGGTGCACACGTCAAGTGGATCGACGGCCTGCAGAACATAGCAAATGTCCTGACCAAACACAACGCTGAGAAGGACACACTTCGAGCATTTCTGAAAGATGGGATGATGAGCCTCCAGCAGACCGAGCAAAACAAACTGCTGAAGGAGAAACAGAGACAAGCCCGTCAGAAGAGAGCTCAGGTGAAAAGGGATGATACAGCTTTGAAGGAGCAGAAGAAACTGGAAAGACGCAAAGCTGTGCTGGCAGAAGTAAAGGATGAGAGCGGTGACAGCACTACAAGCTCACAGCAAAGAAAAATACAATGAGTGTGAAGAGATGCCTGCATTCAGCCACTGATGCCAGGTTGTTGCTGTGAGCCACCACAGACACTACATGCTGCCTGAACCGCTGGTTCAAACCATAGCCGGCCCCGAGGGAAAGTCCCGGTCCGTCAGTGCCCCTGACCGGCCATGACAGTAACCTCATGGTCCGCTTGCTGCGGGAACACATGACAGAATAGAAACCAAGGAAACAAAGACAGACAAAGCATGTATGGAACGACCGTGAACCACATGGACAAGGCCAACAGATCGTTTGCATGTGTACAGCATAACATATACCTTTCTTTGTTCGTGGCATGAAAACAGCTTGCGCGCTGCCAGTGCACGCTTCGCAGGTTCATTCAATTCGTTCAATTCGTTCATTCATTCGTTCATTCGTTCGTTCGTTCGTTCGTTCGTTCATTCGTTCAATTCGTTCATTTCGTTCATTTCGTTCATTTCGTTCGTTCGTTCGTTCGGTCGGTCGGTCGGTCGTTCGGTCGGTCGTTCGGTCGGTCGTTCGTTCGGTCGTTCGTTCGGTCGTTCGTTCGTTCGTTTGTTCGTTCATCCATTCATCCATTTATTCCATTCATTCCTTTCATGCCATTCATTCCATTCATTCCATTCATTCCATTCATTCCATTCACTCATTGACTCATTCACTCATTCACTCATCCACTCATTCACTCATTCATTCATTCATTCATTCATTCACTCACTCATTCACTCACTCATTCGCTCACTCATTCATTCATTCATTCACTCACTCATTCATTCATTCATTCACTCACTCATTCACTCACTCATTCACTCATTCATTGTGTCCATTTTGCCATTCATTCACTTCTTTCATTCCAGTCTTTCATTTTCTTCAATTCATTTATTTGAATTCACTTCTTTCGAATTCACCAAGAATTCCTATAAGCAAACTATTTCCTATGGTCATGTCCTATTTTGGAAATTTCCGCCCCGGCCCGGCCCGTGCCGGGCACTACTTGGTAAAGTCATGAAAAGAGGCACATGCCACATGGATCCAAATGGAGGTTTCATAGAGCATGAAAATGTACAGCATCAAATTTTCAAGAGGACACATCGGTAGACATCAGTTGTGGGAGTTTGTGATGCCGGAGGCACTTTTCCACGAGAACTTGGTGCAACTGAAGGATGCCAATGCCGCTGCTGCCAGCGCGCATCTGGGTGGACACAGAGGGTTCCACCTTGTTTCCTTGTGTGCCCATTGGTGGAATCAAATCCGTTGCTGGTTGGGGTTTTCATATGTTTTTGATTTGGGATGACTGGTGGAGATGACTAAGATGACGAACAAAATTTTGGGAGTGACACACCTTAAAACAATTTAACACCACCAGATTGGCTTTACTTTTCCACATTTTTCCACCCTTTAGGATTTGCCATTCCTTCTTTGAGGTTAAGGACTCTGGCTGCCAGAAACTTGGCACCCTGAGTGCCAGGCTTCGCCCCCAAATTTTGCCGTGCCGCGAGGTGCGGAACGCACGTCATTTTCCCATCGTTTCCTCATTAAACTTGCCACAATTTGAGCCATAGAAATAAACAAAGACGTATATTTAGGTGTATGGTGTATAAGTACACACACACACACGTATATCAAGTCCGGATTTTGATAAATTCATGTGGAATGGCTGACAGGTGGCACACAATCCCATTGCCTGATCTTCCGGCTCTCTGTACAGTTCATAATCTTCAGCACAGCCCCGCGAGACCAAATTTGGAGCGCCCGGGAAGCATGCCAAGCCCCGTGGGGCGAGACAACGAAGCAGTGATAGAATCTTTTGTGGAATTCCACCATGGCTGAATGGACTTCAAGTGGTCAGTTCTCACTCCTCCTTGGCGGTTCTTTTCAAAATCTTTCCGCTCTTCTCTCTTGGTAAAAAAACGGCAAAAAAGCAATTGTGGGCCACGAGTGCGTCCGTTCACTCTTTTTGCGGTTGGAAGTTGAAGTGCCCAAAGGGCGTATCTTCGAACATAGCTTGACAAGAACCGATGCACCTGTGCAGGCAGGCGAAACAGTTGCCTTGATCAATCGTTTGGATGGTTTGGACACAGCTTGGATAGTCACGCTCGGTAGCTGTGTTCCAAGGTTTTTTGTGTCCGCCAAAGTTGGCTGCCCTAAGATCTGTGTCTCCAACACATGATCGAAGCGGCTACATACTTAGCGCGATCATTCCGATACTCTGTTTTTAGCATGATGTGGCAAGCAGTATCCAAGACCCCAGCCAGAACAACAGACTTCATAACTTAGACCTTTTTTGTGAATCAATGGAAGGCCACACCTACCGGGCTTCTTTCTTGTGCTGACATTTGCATTCTGGCTCCAGCGGCGACGGCATGGATGACAAGGAAATCAAGTCAAACACTCGCAGAGCCACATCTAGGTGCAGACATCAGGATTCAGAAAACCTGGCCGTGTGGTCAAAATCAGACCTGCGCCCCTACACACAAAGAGTCACAAGCATTGTGAAACCAGTCTGACTTCAAGGATTGTGCACTGTCAAGCAGTGTCATGTAGTTACGTTACTTTCGTTGGCGCAAGAGCTGTGCAGAAAGAATCTGCTGCCCTTGTGCCAGATGGCTACAAGCTGGGAAGTGGTCGCGTCCCTACTTCATGTGGGTGTCACAGGAAAAAACGACGGCGCTTGTATCCTTTCCAACCTTTTGCAAATGCAACTTTGGAAAGAGGCCGTATTTAATTTGTCGACTGTTGTTACAGATGGTTCTGAGGCATGCGCTGCATGGACTTGCATTGCCGGGATCCATTTCTTCCGCAGAAGAGGTGGGAAAAACACCTGGCGCAACCAGAGTTTTGGATGCTGAGCCAGCTTTGATCTTCGAATCACAACAAATCGCGGCCAGGTCTCCACCCGGCCGTGCCACCAGAGCCAGTTGCAGCCGTGGAGGACTGGGACTGGCAGATGGAGGCGCCCGAGCTTCCCATGCCGCAGCTGCCCTTCGCGCCTTGCAATCCGTCGACCTCGCCGAAGACGACGGTGACCACGGAGGACCGGCCACCCTTCGGGCACGAAGGGCCGGGGTCGCCTTCGGTGAGCACCGATGTAGGGGACGAGCTGCGGATCCCGGCACAGGTGGGAGAAAGGTGTTGGAAGATTCTGGTGGAATAGTGGAAACCAATTCATACCAATTCCCTGGAAGAATCAAAACTTTTGAGCTTTTGATGATATGTGATCATGGTGATGGTGATGATGATGGTGATGATGATGGTGATGATGATGATGGTGATGATGATGATGGTGTTGATGTTGTTGTTGTTGTTGATGATGATGATGATGATGTTCGATGACGACGATGATGATGATGATGATGACGACAATGATGACCATCATGGTGATGATGATGATGATGATGATAAAATATGATGATGAAATACGATGATGTTTGATGATTGATAATTTATGATATATGATTTGTAGAACCCCCGTTTGGCTTAAGACTGCTTTTACCGTTTTGGTGCAGGAGGGGGGGGGGTATTGGTGCACGGCTGGTGCGCGGAAAAGGAAAATAGGGGCAAGGGTGGGTCTGGGAAGGGAAAAATAGGTGCGGGAGTGGGTTCTTGCCAATCTATGGATCCAGTCAGGATCCCGTCGGGACCCAGTCGGGCACCAATTTTTGCATTTTTGGGCACCGCTTTTGGCCAGTCGGGATCCAGTCGGGATCCAGTCGGGATCCAGTCGGGATCCAGTCGGGATCCAGTCGGGATCCAGTCGGGCACCAATGTCGGGAGGCAGCCAAATACATAAAACATAGCATTTTTGCAGTGTTTTTGCATGTTTTTCGGTGATTTTGGCTGCTTCCCGACAGGTCCAAACGTGGTGCCAAAAATTCGAAAATTGGTGCCCGACTGGATCCCGACTGGATCCCGACTGGCTCCCGACTGGCCAAAAGCGGTGCCCAAAAATGCAAAAATTGGTGCCCGATTGGGTCCCGACTGGGTCCCGACTGGGTCCCGACTGGACTGGATCCCGACCCGGTTTCTTCAAAAAAACCCCTATTTCCTTAAATTTGAGCCCCTATTTTTGAAATTTTAGCCCCTTGCCGTGCCCCCCCCCCCCCCCTCCGGACCCCCCCCCCACCAGTCTTAAGCCAAACACGGGCTTGGCAATATATGATGATGATATTCAATGATGGTGATGATGATAGTGATGATGATGATGATGATGATATTTGATGATCGATAAACTATGATAGATGATGATGATGATGATGATGATGATGGATGATGATGATGATGATGGTGGTGGTGGTGGTGGTGATGATGATGATGTTCATGATGACATCTGAACATGTTGATGGTGATGGTGGTATATGGTAATGATGTTTGATGATGGCGAAGAAGAAGAAGATGATGATGGTGATGATGATGATGATGATATTTGATGGTGATATTTGAGGATGGTAAATGATGTTGATATATGATGATGGTAAATAAAGCTGATATTTAATGATGATATATGATGCTGATATGTGATGATGATATCTGATGATGATGATGATGGTATAATGTTGATTTCCGTTGGTGATGATGATGGTGGTGATGATGATGATGGTGGCATGTGAACATGTTGTTGGTGATGATGGTATATGATGATGATATTTGATGATGGTGAAGAAGATGGTGATGATGGTGATGATGACGTTAAAATTCGATGGTGATATATGAGGATGGTAAATGATGTTGATATTTGATGATGTTATATAAAACTGATATTTGATGATGGTACATGATGATGATGATGATGATGATGATGTTGATGTTGATGATGATGATTATGATGATGATGATGATGATATTTGATAATATATGATAGATGATGATGTCGATGATGATATGTGATTTATCGCGATGTTTTTTTTGATGATGATGATGATCATGATGATGGTGGTGATGATGATGGTGATGATGATGTTTGATATATAGTGATGATATTTGATGATGATTAGGTGGTGGTGGTGGTGATGGTGATGGCGATGACGATGAGGACAAGAACGAGGACGAGGACGAGGACGACGACGAGGACGAGGGACGCCGACGACAACGACGACGACGACGACAACGACGACAACGACGACAACCACGATGATGATGATGATGATGATGATGATGATGATGATGATGTAAGAGTCTAAGACGGGAAATGATGCACCTTCTGGTGATGCCGCGTGATCCCAGGGTTTAACCTAACGTGCCAGGCATCGATGATCGACGGTCTGCGGCTTCTGCTCCTGCACCACTTGAGGGATCCGCTGAGCCCCGCACAGATGGAACTGCTGGAGCGTCACCTGGGTCAACTGGCCTCATATGCCGAGAAGCTAGTGCAGCTGCTCCAGCGGATGCGGGCGCCCGCTCCAACTGGAGCCAGGTTGAAGCTGAAGGACAGCATGTGTTGACAGGGAGGCTGGGGCCAATGGGCGCCGAAGTAGTTGCCATCCAGCATGAAACTGGTTCTGACATATTCTGACATGTTGTTCAACCATCATCCTATAATGCCATAATAGGCCACAACACCATGGATGCGCCCATGATGAGGACGAAGACTTGCTGGAGATCTACCGTTCAGCACAGGATGAAGTCCGACATGGTTTGCCTGTACAGCCCGTGAGGGAAGCTGCCACAGAAGCGGCTGCGCCTGCCAAGCTTCGAACGCCCAGAGGTCTGTGTGACCCCGGAGCTATGTCCTGAATGGTTCCACCTTGGGGAGGGAAAAACCTGTCGTCTACCAGGTAATCCCTTGGCAGATGCAAGTACAAAATCTGGGCCTCGGCATTTAGAAACCACACTTTTAGTGGAACATGTTTGATTTTCAACTTTGGAGCCTTGCATGTGTCTTACCGTCGTCTTGCAAACGGACAACATGTTGAGAATCTCAACTACAAAGTCTAACATGCTCTCTCGTGATGTTCCATTCCATGTCATGCAGATGTTGTAAGCCGTGTTTTAGGGTTGCTTTTCCCGTCCCCAACAACAGCCCTTGTGCCATGGCAATTAATTCAGAAATCTTTGCCGATCTTGAAGCGACTTCACGAAAAAAATATGAGTGGGTGGTTGTTTGGAGTCGTGAAGGCCAGTGGCCCAGTGTTCGTAATACCACAATTCACCTGCGTCGCCTGTTCACCTGCCTCCATTTCATCGCGTGCACATTCTTGGCTCATGGGCTCTTCAGCGTCATCACGGTAAAGGTGGAATGCCATGTCAATGACACACCAATCAGTGATGTGAGGAGCAAGCATCACCATTTGAGCAGTCTTTAAACACCAGTTGATGACTTTAGGGAAGTATACGGTATACGATCCAATCTATTGGGGATTATCCTCACCTACTATATATTGAGATCCTTACCTGGCATTTTTTTGAAAGTGAGTTGAACGTTGGCTCAGCCTCAGATGGAGTAGAATACAGTATAGCCTTCAGTGTCCACCACGCAGCCGCAAACCCATAAAACACACGCATGAGGTGTTGAACAAGCTCTGGAAGGAAGACATCAAAAACACTTTGTAAATGTGGCCTGCTTCAGTTATATGCTGTATATACTGCCAATTACTAACCCACCAAGGTCAACCATTGAGCCAATCGAGCCATCACGTTTTGGGCGGTTTCCCACCCAGCGTGGCGATGGACTCGGCAACGTGATGCCCAAGGCCAAACATCGCATCACGGCCAATGGCCGCTGCCAGCGGCAGCGTAACACCGATGAGGCCCCGGGACAGGGATGGTTGGTGGAGCCCCAGTTGCAGATATTGGCAGATGGAGGGGAAGCAAGCACCTCAAAAGATGGGGATGATTTTGGAAAAACTGGGATGATTTTGGCATGAGTTGGCCGAAGCTTTGAGTATTTTTGAGTGAGGTGGTTCCAAAGTTTTGGCAAAGGGGGGTAATTTCGGTATTTTGGATGGCAAATGCCAACTGAGGCGCCAGCTGCTGATGTAGTTCAGAGCTGGAGATGCCAGAAATGTGCCCTGCTGCATGCAGTTGAGTTTCTGGTGCCCCAGGGTCCAATGGCCAATGGCTGGTCTTTGGTCCATCATCACAAAGCATAAAGAACGTTCTTCAAAAGATGCGAAAAGTACGGGATCATCCCCTATTTGTAGAGCTTCAGTGTGTCGGCACTGCCTCAATATGACTGGCATGCTATGAACCCATAAATGACAGACTCGCTGCTCCGGGCTGCTCTGCTGAGGTAGCTTTGTCAATGACGAAGATCTGCCATTTTGCACCTTGCTGCAACAATCTGGTGTACGCTGAATCCCAGGCAAAATTTCATTGGAATTTGAGAGTTTGGGGACATTGTTTTTTGATGTTTTTTGCAGGACACCTCCTAAATTTAAATCCAATGATTTCTCACCATTTTCCCAGGAAGCATTGCAATCCTTGGGACTACCCCATGGTCCTCTGAACCCCCAAGGTGAGATCTGCCAGGAGCCGAAGGAAGAGCCCTCGCGCAGCTCGGCCGAGCTGAAGAGGATGAACCAAGAGCTGTGGGTTCATTTGTATTATATGTATCACACACACACACGCACACACACACATATATATATATATATACACATACATACATCCATCCATCCATACATCCATCCATCCATACATCCATCCATCCATCCATACATCCATCCACCCATCCATCCATCCATCCATACATCCATCCATCCATACATCCATCCATCCATCCATACATCCATCCATCCATCCATCCACCCATCCATCCATCCATCCATCCATACATATATACATACATACATCCATCCATACATCCATCCATCCATACATACATCCATCCACCCACCCATCCATCCATCCATCCATACATACATACATCCATCCATCCATACATCCATCCATCCATGCATCCATCCATCCATCCATACATCCATCCACCCATCCATCCATCCATCCATCCATACATACATCCATACATACATCCATCCATACATACATCCATCCATCCATGCATCCATCCATCCATACATACATACATCCATCCACCCATCCACCCATCCATACATACATACATCCATCCATCCATACATACATATCCATCCATACATACATCCATCCATCCATGCATACATACATCCATCCATCCATCCATACATACATACATCCATACATCCATCCATCCATCCATACATACATCCATCCACCCATCCATCCATCCATACATACATCCATCCACCCATCCATCCATCCATCCATCCATACATATATACATACATACATACATCCATACATACATCCATCCATCCATCCATACATACATCCATCCATCCATACATCCATCCATACATACATCCATCCACCCATCCATCCATACATACATACATCCATACATCCATCCATCCATACATCCATCCATCCATCCATACATCCATCCATCCATACATACATCCATCCACCCATCCATCCATCCATACATACACACATCCATCCATACATACATCCATCCATCCATACATACATCCATCCACCCATCCATCCACCCATACATACATACATCCATCCACCCATCCATCCATCCATCCATCCATACATATATACATACATACATCCATCCATACATCCATCCATCCATACATACATCCATCCATACATACATCCATCCATCCATGCATACATCCATACATCCATCCATCCATGCATACATCCATCCATCCATCCATACATACACCCATCCATCCATACATACATATCCATCCATACATACATCCATCCATCCATCCATACATCCATACATACATCCATCCATCCATACATCCATCCATCCATCCATACATCCATCCATCCATCCATCCATCCATCCATACATACATACATACATACATACACATATAATAGGTATATTTTGCATTTTAAAACTTTTCCATCCCTACAATGATCCCAATTGACTTTTCATAATTTTTCAGCGGGGTTGAAACCACCAACGAGCGAAACGTGTTGTCATGTCACAACATCATGTCGCATGATTTTTCGATCTTGTATCACGAAATTGATTTTGCGTGTCTTGCATCACGCCTATTTTGACATTGCAACTTGCTTGGCCTTGCTTGGCTGTTTTTCCTGCTAAGTCTCAGCGCGGACTGTGCAAATCCCTGTCTCAGGTGACGATGAGGGAAGCGTGCTTTGGCTGCACTGTTGGTCAGCTTATCCATAGCTCCAGTGCATTTCCAAAGCTGTGCATCCTGTTCATATTCTGAATCAACACTGGGATGATTTGGGTCACTTGAAGTCACTTGACACTGACTTAACATTCTTTCTGGCGACAGTGCCTCTGTGCAGCAAGAGCTGTTCAGGACGATGAACCACAAGATTGGCTGCCTGGCAGTTCATGTGGCAGGTTTTTATTTGGGGGGCGGTATTACAGGCCAAAATTGGATGCCTCAGATTCTTGGATGATATTAAATGATTCATCAATGACTGATTTTGAACACGACCAACATTTCTGGTCCCCTCTATCAATGGTTCAAACAGGGGACAGGATGGCCCAACCTCAGCTGCACACCACCAAAGAAAACGGAGCAAACCAAGGATTCACAGTGAAAATCTTGTCGGTTGGCTTGAGGGACGGTTTTCAGAGCTTACAAGTACAGTCTCCAAATTCTTGCTGACGGACAGGCACCAAAGGTTGATGCTGGCTCGACATGACTCAAAATCTTAGAATCGTGGAACTGATCCTCAGCAGGCACAAGATTCGTTCCATCAAAGAGACCATTATCCACCACCAAACCGCCTTGACATGGAGATCCTTGGTGGTAGCCTGGGTTTGATCATGAGATGCCCAACAATCCTCTAAATTATGACATGTTTATATCCAGTTTATCCAAATTCCTATGGGAACCCCGGTGATTTCCCTCAGGTTCTGCAGCAAATGCTCCTTCAAAAACAGCGGGCTGTTGCCTTGCTGCGAACTCTGTGAGGCGGGAGGATGTGCTTCCTAGCATTGGACCATGGAGGTATGAGAAAGGTTTGGTTGATAGGTTGGAAGAATTCTGCAAGAATTGAGGGGTAAATGAGAGAACATGAGCATTTTTTGGAAGTGTACGATGATGATTTTTGATGGTGACATTTTGTTCCACAGCAAAAGTTCCAACTCCCACCGGGTCGCCTGCGGCAGAATGCTCGTTCCAGTTCATCGAGCGCGCAGGAGGCGACTTGATCAGCCCTTGGGGGTTGGACGGTTGGTCAAAGATAGGAATGGCATGATTGTCAATTTCAGTCCAGCCACTCGCCCCCAGAAATGGTCTTTGGAAAGGGACTGGTGGCTGGTGAATTCTGCTCTTGACATCCGAGGAGGTCAGGCCATGTCCCCTTTGCTCCTTTGAGAATTCAAGCTCAAGAACTGCTTGTGCGCAGCTTGGCGCATGCCAGTGCGGTGCAACGACGTGGAACGTTGTAGAGGTGTTGCAGTTAGGAGCTCCTACAGGCTCCTACAGATGAGTGGATTGAAAGACCCAGAGGTTTAGAAACTTTGGTTGAAGCCTCTTCCAAACATTGTCTAGTGGTGTCAGCATCGGGGGGCACGTCCCTGGGCAAGGCATTCCATACCTTCCAAGCTGCTCTAAGGATGTGTTCCTCACCCCTTCCTGCGGAGGAAGCAGCCTCCAGCAGCCTATCTGCATTGTTTTTTTTTGATTGAAGATTTGATGTGGGGCCTGTGGCAGTCCACCCTAACGGAAGACCGAGTTGGGCATGACCTCAACCACAAGCAACCACACGTGTGGAGTCAAAAGCTGAAAGTGACAGACATAAATCGCCCCTCTTTACAAGCAACCAGGTGCGTCCAAGCCTGCGGTTGCCAGTGCCGACATGCCCGAAGCGCCGGCAGAAGGGCAGTGTACGGAGGAGGAGCCATGACCATCCCTGCAGCATGTGGGTCTCTCAATACAGACAGAGAAAATCACAGAAACAAACATGATTTCAAGATAAGTAGCCACTGTTTTGAGACGTTTTGATGGTGTTTTTACCTTCCTGATTTCTGTCATTTTCTCTCAAATTTCGGGACCACTACGAGTGGATGTAGTTAGATGTGCGCTGATGCGCCAACAGAGAACATTGTATCATTAATCATTGACGGGAAGTCCTCAGCCAAGGGCAGGTGAGAACTGGTTCGTGCTCTTCCAACGAATTTCCAAATAAATCGTGGGGCAGCAAGACTGCGCTGACACTGGCGATGAAAAGGCGTGGCCTTTCAATTCCTTTCCCATGAAAATCATTTGTCAGGAACGTCGTTTGCTGCAGTCTATGGGATGGAACCCGGATGAGCACGACGACGACGAGGGCGGTTTAGAGGCCATGAGATGGGCTATCAGGGTTGGGGGGGTGGCGAGGTAGGATCTGTTCCTCTTGGGGTCTTGGGATCTGACTGCCAGGACTGGGAAATTGACGCGGCTGAACAGATGCTCGGCAGATCTCGGCTGAGAAATATGGAATGACAATGAATGACACTAGGGCTCTTTGGTCAAACATGGCTGGAAAATCACCATGACACTCATCAAGCCATATTCTTGGTTGGTAACCTATAACCTCCTTCTTTACTTGGGAATTTGCAGAGAAACCTCCCATCGGTTCCGCAACCCATTTTTGCTGATAAACAATACATATCAATACATTTGAACAGTCCCTGGCTAAATTGGTTAAATATAAGTTGCCAATCATCTACCTTTGAACTTTTACCCTCCGGTAATCAAATGTGGCTTGCTGGAAATCTCACATTTAGTTCTATGATCTATCCAGCTACAAAGTTCCGTCTAGTTCGGGGATTTCCAAGCTAGCCATGTTTGATTGCCAAAGCAAAATCTCATTCATCACCATTATATCGACGCTATTAATCACCATTATGAACCATTATTAACCATAGTCAACCATTATTAAGTAGTACTTAGTACTATATAACTATTATTCACTATTATTCACTATTATTCACTATTATTAACATTTATCAACTATTCTTCACTATTGTGCCGCTATCATATAACCAATCTTTGATTTTCCCCGGGTAAACCTATCCCCGACATCCCCGGAGACGCCAAGGAGCCTCATCGCCCAGCTCCAGGCGGAGGGCGACCGCGAGACGCTGCGCGACCGCGCACGGCGCGAGTTCGATGCCTGGAGCAGTCGACCCAAGGGATCCACGACGCTGGGACCGCAGGATACCGAAGGGCTGCTGGAAGTTGGTAGCTGAGGTGGTATAGCTGGATGATGCTGGATGTTTTTTTTTTTTTCTCAGAAATTGGTTTAGTGTTTTTCCCCACATCACTGTGTGGGGTTCTTGTTTTTCGCTTGGATCCCGCCGCTCTCCGCCGGCTTCCGCATCCCGCCTCGCCGCCTCACCATCATCTCACATCTCTCATCACATCTTAGTCATCACACCACAACTCATCACAGCCCCACTTCTCACACCTCACTTATCACACCAGTGTGGCAGGCGCAGTACACAGAACCTCCTGGCCGAGCTGCGGCGCGCGTGGCCGCCGCTTGGGCCGCGGCTGGCTTTCGTGTGGCAGGCGCAGTACACAAAGCCGCCTTTCCGACACCACTTTGTCACACACCATCTTTCACACACAACTTTGTCACACACCATCTTTCACACATCATCGTTGACACCACTTTGTCACACACGATCTTTCACACACCATCTTTGACACACCATCTTTTACACACCATCTTTGTCACACCACTTTGTCACACACACACACCACCATCTTTCACACACCATCTTTGACACACCATCTTTTACACCATCTTTCACACACCATCCTTGACACCACATTTTGACACATGCCATCTCTCACACACCGTCACAGACCATCTTTCACACACCACTTTGTCACACACCATCTTTGACACACCATCGTTCACACACAACTTTGTCCCACACCATCTTTCACCACACCATCTTTGGCACACACCATGTTTCACCACACCATCTTTGACACACACACACAGAGCTTTGTCACACACCATCTTTCCTCCACCTCCTCCTTTGTCTTTCCTTCCTTCCCCGTCCCCGCTACAACATTTCTTGCTTATTATTGGACGAAGTTGACTTGTGGGGTTTTCCGGTCCTTTTTTTTGGAGTTGAGACATGTGTGGAATCCGAGATTCCCCGTGTTGAAGGGGGAAATGGATGTTAAAAGACGTTTGGAGTTGGAGTTTCCCATGGTTTGGGGTACAAGAGGATAAAGACTGGTATTAACAAGGGTCTCAACTGCAAGATGGCATGAGTGAAATGAGCCATGAGACTTTCGAGTTTTCCAGTGAAACAAGGCTATCAACTTTCGGTATGCCATGAAACAGGTTGAATCACTAGCAAGCAGATGCATTCCTCTGACTTGCAAGGGTCGAAACACACAATTTCTTGAAGTCTTTTTCAGGAATCACCAGCAAGTCGCTGCTGCACTTTTTTCCTGAGGTGAAGCCAACCTGAGAAGAGCGGGTTTGATTTGGATGTGACCAGTGGCCGCAGTGGCACTGAGAAATGCCTTTGATCTATTAATATTTTATTTTATATATATATATATGTATATATATACACATTGTTACATATACGTCTATATATTTATTATATATATATATTTTCTTCAATGT